CTTCATGACCAGATGCAGCATCACAGTGTGGATGATGCCTTCCTCATGCATATGCAGCACTGCTAATTATTCTTCTTTAAGAAATAATGGCATTTCAGGACATGAAACCTGGGGCCACTGCCTTTATTTAATTAGGCAAGAATAAATTTGCACGTGCCTCTGCATTAAAAATAATCGCTTAATGTAATCGAATGTTGGTTTTTGCCATGCCCTTTTCCCAATGAGGCAGCATCTAGAAAGATCAAAAGATGATTTATTCCAGTACAGTGTGTGCAAAGGGGATTGAGTGTGTGCCATGTTGCATTTTCATTATAAATTTCATCCTGAGACCCAATTAACAGGCCTGTTTTCTCTTTCATTAAAATCACTTGTAGAAAAAAATGAAGGTAGGAGGGTTTTTATGATATCACAGAGCAAGCAGCAAAATTGGTTATGCCCCATGAATTTCTTTCTTTTGCACATGGGTTCATTTCCAATTGAAGTCAGGATCTGAGGCTTGTGGTACTACTCTAGGGGCTGCTGGGTCTGAGGGGATGAGTGGCCTTGGATACAGATTATTATGGCCCTGTTACCAACCGTGTTACTACTACAGTAAATTGTTCTCATTCATGTTGATTTTTGTTAGCTGTTTAAAAGCATTAGACTGGTGGGTACACTTTTGTTCTTACTAGTATTTACTAGCAAAAAACCCTGTTTTTAAGCATTTCATTTTAAGTAAATATCTATTTTGTTGTTGAAGATAGGGTCAGAAGCAACTACTTTGCAATAAACAGCACTATTAACATTGTAGACATTTTCTTAAAATATTGGTCCTCAATTTCAACAATAGAATTTTATTTACTATAAAATGTGTATAGTAACCTACACATACACCTACACACACACACACACACACACACACACACACAAACACAGCTACCCAGGGCTCAGTGTAGCATCTCTTCAAAGGCCGTCCTAGCAGAACCCCAGCCAGGTTATACTACCCTCTTCTCTGATACAGACCTTGAATGTTGAGCAGAGTTCTTTACCATAAAGGACAGAGACTCCTAACTTGGGATCCATGTAGAATTGAGGTTTGGGGACCTGAGGATTATGGAATGATAGGCACCCTCCTCTAGGAAGAGGGTCCTTTGCCAGATTTTGTGTGTGAGTGTGTGTGTGTGTGTGTGTGTGTGTTTAAGAACTAAAACAGGTTAAGAAGCACATTTATTCTAGTTTTGCTCTGATCTTATAAGACCAAAGAGGTTGAAAGGAACTTGGTCTTGGGAGTCAGATGAATTTGGGTTTGAGTTGTCTGCAACACATTTTAACTGTGTGGCCTTGGGCAGGCTACAAAACCTTTCCAAACCTCAATTTTCTCAAATTTAGAATAAGGGTAAGAAGGTTGTAGTGACAGTTAAGATGAGATAAATAGTAAGTGCTAATTTTCTTTTTTCTCTCTTTGTCCCATGAATACTAATGAAAGCAGGTTGTGACCCGTTCCTTGCTGGCCCTTCCCTAGCTCTCAGCATGCTGCCTGGCACACAGGAGGCACTCAAATGTTTGAATGGATGATGATTGGATAAATGGTTGAATGATGGAGTGCTTTGGTTTAATATCCAGATGAAATTTTTGTCTATAGTGATATTTCCCCAATGCATTTCTTTTCTTTTCTTTTAGATGGAGTCTCATTCTGCTGCCAGGCTGGAGTACAGTGGCGTGATCTTGGCTCACTGCAACCGCTGCCTCCCACGTTCAAGTGATTCTCCTGCCTCAGCCTCCTGTGTAGCTGGGACTACAGGCACACACCACCACGCCCGGCTGATTTTTATGTATTTTTAGTAGAGACGGGGTTTCACCATGTTGGCCAGGATGGTTTCTATCGCTTGACCTCGTGATCCGCCCACCTTGGACTCCCAAAATGCTGGGATTACAGGCATGAGCCACGGTGTCCAGGCAATGCATTCATTTTCTAAGGGAGATCTTGATGCTGTGCTTGCCTCTGCTATGACCTTCCCAGGACAGTTAGTCCCTGTCCTGTGCAAAATCTTTCTGGGTACATAAAAAGATTTGAGGCCAGGCGTGGTGGCTCACGCCTGTAATCCCAGCACTTTGGGAGGCCAAGGTGGGTGGATCACCTGAGGTCAGCAGTTCAAGACCAGCCTGGCCAACATGGTGAAACCCCATCTCTACTAAAAATACAAAAAATTAGTTGGGCATGGTGGTGGGCACCTGTAATCCCAGCTACTTGGGAGGCTGAAGCAGGAGAATCGCTTGAACCCAGGAGGCAGAGATTGCAGCAAGCTGAGATCACGCCATTGCACTGCAACCTGGGCAATAGGAACAAAACTCCGTCTCAAAAAAAAAAGAAGAAAATTGTTTTTGATCTGCATGCAGAAGATCATGATCTGTGTTGGGCACTTTGTCTATATCAGTGCTGGACAGACTACAGCCTGTAAGCCAACTCTGGCTTTTTGCCTGTTTTTGTAAATAAAGTTTTATTGGAACATAGTCATACTCGTTGATTTACTAATTGTCTGTGATTGCTTTTGTGCTTTAGCAGAGTTGAATAGTTACGACAGAGACCATTTGGAGTGCATGGTCTAAAATATTTATTATGGGGCTCTTTACCAAAAAAGTTTGACAACCTCTGATACATATGTTATACTACATATTATCTATATATTGTACTCCAACTCTGCAGGATTGGTCTTAAAATGCCCTTTTTATGGATAAGGGAGTTAAGACCCACAGATTTTAGTATTTCGATTGAGACTACAAAACTTATCAGTGCTTAGCATTTGAATTCATGTGTATGTGATTCCACAGCCCATGTTCTTTCTACTAACCACTCATATTTTTCAACTCAGCCAAAACCTAGTTGAACCACCTTCATCTACCAGTCCTGCTTGGTGACCATGGCTTGCATGATGGTGATGGCCCCTGGTGGTGGTGCAACCTGGAAATCCTAGCATTTGTCAGCAACCTAGCTTAGGTCAACAGTATCAGTCATGTGAATGTATAAGCAGGTGAGAGTGTGGAATAAGGATTTCAAGGGCTAATACTGCAGATGGCAGAGTAATATAGATAGGCGAACATATTGCTGCTTTCCAAGAGTCAACAGGTTGAGGATTTCCAAAAGGGTCCTTGTTGCTGCTGGACATGGCATCCAATCTTGTTGGGTGCCCTTGGTGAGTAATGTGTAAATACTTGTACATTTTCAGCCCATAGGTACAGGATATATTTCCTCTTCCCTGGACTATTAGGCTGTAAGACTTTTGGACCCCCATGCTTGTTCCCTGCTATTATGCTCTTTCATTGGCCAATCTGACTCCAAATTCAAGTGGAAAGTTCTTTCACAGTGGATTAATCCTGGTGGAAATTTGATTGTTTCAAGGGTTTACAGATGAAGTTCTGTGCTGCTTCTGTTAGCATACCATTTGCCCTTGGTTGCTACTTCTCACTCTATCTTCATGCTTCCGTTTAATTTTTCTAAGCTCTTAAACTGGTTAACATTGAATAAAAGAAACAAAATTGGAAAAAAAAAATCAGCTATTCCTGCACTAATTGACTGCACCACAGTGTTTGTCTTGTAATTGTGACAAGCTGACAAAAAAATAACAGTGACAAAGTTACAGCCACCCAACTGGATGTAACACAGTTGGGTAATTTATCCATCTGTCAAAGGATGAATCTAATGAAAAATGTCTGTAGTGTTAATTGTCATATAAAAATGGATATTGTAACATTGGGTTGTTGAGGGGCAAGGTGAGGATTAGGAAGGCAAACATTTTTCCTGATTGTTTTTGTAGTCTGTGTGGCTGGCATTATATTAGAGGAGTGTGTGACTCTCACTTCATCGGTTGTGAAGCTGCTGATGGAAGGATTCCATGGAAAAGCAGCAGAGCTGCAGAGTGGACAGGGAGAAATCAGAGCTATAATGAACTTTGTATTTCATTGTGTTCTACAACAGTAACCCTTATTTCTCCAACGATGAAATCCTATAGTCTAATGTGGTAGCTTTCACACTCTAAAAATCAATGTATCTTTCAGTTTATGCTGAAAATATAAAACAGATAAGAGTGGGGCTGCTCTGGTTTAAGTAGGGGTAGAGAAACCTGGTAAAATGAAGTCACATTTCACTTTTGTGCTAGTGTAACTCCATAGGGAAATAATGGGTTGATTAAAATTCTTGGTCTGTTGTTTAATTATTTAAAGTAGATGCTTCTAACAGATATTTTTGTCTTTTGGTTTATTCCTAAAATATTTTAATCTCCTTTTTTTTCTAAGCTTTAAAATATCCAAATAGCTCTCCTTTTTTTTTTTTTTTTGTCTCTCCCCTGACTCTAGATAATGTTGCATCTAGGCACCTCTTATCGGCCAATGCTATTGATGGTTAATTTGTATTTCTGTCTTGGAAACATGTTCATTAAGAACCTGTCACAAGACTCAGATCTACTACTTGATGGAGATTATAGAGCAAATGTTAAATTTATAAATTATTGTTGAATCCTTTGAGTTGGGGAGGAATTGACAAACTAATAGAATTTTGGTATATATTGATGAGACAGAGTGCTGATGGTGATGCATATAATCTCCAGGTAAGGAAGAGGTAGAAGCAAGGCGTAGAAATCTACTTAATGATGCCTCCTAGAGGTGTTCACCCCCAGGTGTGCTGGGTGTGAGCAGTGAGTGGTGCTAATTTGGGAAAGAACAAAGCATGTTCACAGACTGGCTGGGATCCCATTGTGTACTAATGAGTGTACCAGGTAATAATTAGTAAAAGTCCTTGTGTTTGCTCTTCCTGTAGCCATACCAAGAAGGCAAGGGGTTGATGGGCTATCATTTCTGCACAGCTTCTTTGCTGTGTTTTCTCTTGAGCCCATGTGCATTTTTATTATTGGTTATAGTTTTTGTGTATGTGTGTAGTGGTATTTGGGGGTGGGTGTACATAAGGCTTACATCACTTGATTGCCAGCTTTACTGAGCTCACATGTTGTCCTTATTTTTGCGTTTGCCAGGGAGAAATGCCTGCTGCCTCTCCAGTTGGCTTTGGAATCCAAGAATGTGAAGCTGGCCCAACACGCATTGGCAGGGATGCAGGTATGGCTTTGACTGAATGCAGTGGGATGATAGAAATTGACAGGCCACTTTGGCATTGAAAGGGCAAATAGTTAACATTTTAAATACTGGTTGTTTAAAGACTCAGACAGAAATGTGATTGAACTAGGAAATAACCATAGAAAATAACAGGATTTTCTTATATTCATCAGAATTTCTCTGTACACAGCATTATTTCATTGAACCTTTGTGATCAGACACTGATTCATGTGGACGTAGCTAAGCCCACAAAAATAGGGATTTGTGTGTGTGTGTGTGTGTGACATCTTTCAGGAGAGTAAGGGATCCCAAAAAAGAGACCACAAGTTCATATCAATTCAAATCTTATACATTCAACATCTATGGTTCTATATAATAAAAACGGATGGTAAACTGGAAATATTTTGTTTTGTTTTTTTATTCCACAGTTAGATTGAGGAGTGGATTATTATCTTTTATTTCCAGAGCAAGATTGGGAAGAAAAAAGAAATTTGGTTTAACAAGAAAAGTCAGATTTGCTTGAATACATTTTTTTGGTTTGTGTTTTACACCAAACATAATGGGTCTAATTCTGATAGTAAAAAGGTGCTGACTATGTAAATACACATACTTTTTAAAGTGGTTGGCCTCTAAGAGACAAGCGCTGTGAAGTTGAAGCCTGCAGGAGTTTGTTCAGTGTGGCCATGGATAAACCACGGTGGCATTTGTCAGATGTCTTTTTATGTCAGTGCAAACTGCTTCATAGTTAGCTTTTTTAGTTCAGAGAAGTTCCCAAAAAGGTATTGGGAAACTTATGAAATAATGAGAAAACAGCTCTTTTTCCCCCAGCAGATCGGAATTAGATAATGTATATTTTTATACACAGCAGTATTTGAATCTTTTAAACATTATCAATAATGTTATTAAAAACCTTTTGCTTTTCTCCAACGTAATTGGGCCAACCATAAAAATAGTTGAGAATTTGTTTTCATCTGCCACTTTTGTTCCTTTTTCTCTAATGTTATGTAGATTTTGCATTTAGCTTCTCTCCCTTTTTTCTTTAACCCTGGAATATTCTAAATTGCAGTGCCATGTTTTCAAGGGCTTACTGAATCGTGTTAACTGAAGCAACTTGGTAGGCTGTGAGTCGTCCTTTTACCATCCCCCGCTACCTCCTGTTAACTTTAGGCATATTTTTAGAGCTTCTCAGTTTTTATCACTTTAAATAAAAATAAATTGTATGTAAACTCTAATTCTGGGCTTTCTTGAGTATACCACATGATTCTGGGGGAAAAAAGTCCTTTTGAAAGAATATAGGCAAAATTTCAGGGAGTCTTAAGTAGAAAGGTTTGAAATATTATTTTCAAGGTCTTTAGTGGTGTGAAGGTAAAAGAGGGAGTTATTACACTGGATGGATCAGAATTCTCAAAGTTCTTCACAGGCCGCAACTCGAAGCCCCTTTGGAGAAGAACAAATTGAATAGGGACAAATATAAAGGTCTATACTGGGGTCTCAAAAATCAATTGCACCAAGACAGCATGGAGGAAAGTAGCTTAATTGCAGTCCTTGTGAACGAGAATTAGGGGTTTGAGGGTGAAATTCTATGCCTCATTCACAGGCATAGAATGTACTGTGACAACCAACTAAGCTCATTTGACCTGAGAATGTGATCCAAATTATGTATCACTAGTTAGTATCAGACCACTCTTGAGGCCACATTCTAAGCACAAGTGAAACCTTATCTGGCAGAGAACATTTGGAGGAGCCTGAGGAGGTTTAGTGTGGAGAAGACAAGACTTGGGTGGACGTGATAGCTGGTTTCAGATCTTGTAGAAGCTTAATCTGTGTGTCTCTGGAGGAAGATGAAGGAGTAGAAGTTGTGGGCAGGGGGGTTTTGGTACAATCTGGAAAAAAATTTTATGAAAATGAGAAAGAGATAGAGAAAGCCTATCCTGCGAGATGGACTCCTGGGAGTCCTCATAACAATGAATGTCTTCTGGTTGAGGTTTGGGGGGATGCATTTTCTGATGGGGAAATACATTAAGATTTCTGGATTCCTAAATAATTCCTGGATAAATGACAGGTCACATTAGGAAGTAAAAAGATAAAAACCTGAAAAATGATCTTGTCTACAAGACCTTCTTTCCTGTGGTGAAGCCACATTTAGAAAGTGTGTGTGTGTGTATGTGAGACTAGTGGGTAGGGCTAGATTCCTCTTAGCATGATCATTCTCCATCCCCACCACCTAAATACCTTATATGGCCGGCACATCAGAGTTTCACTTGATGGCATTTAGAATGAATAGTCCAATAGCAGGAAAAGGTCTTTGCCAAAAACCATTTACTCAGGGTTGCATGCATTTTTCTTTTCTTTAGAGACAGAGTCTTGCTCTGTCGCCCAGGCTGGAGTACAGTGGTGCGATCTTGGCTCACCACAACCTCTGCCTCCCAGGTTCAAGCAATTCTCCTGCCTCAGCCTCCTGAGTAGCTGAGATTACAGGCACTCACCACCACACCTGGCTAATTTTTGTGTTTTTAGTAGAGACAGGGTTTCACCATGTTGGCCGGGCTGATCTCGAACCCCTGGCCTCGTGACCCACCCGCCTCAGCCTCCCAAAGTGCTGGGATTACAGGCATGAGCCACTGCCCTTGGCTGCATTTTTCTTTTTATTGGCACATAGCATACATAAGTCCTTTCCTAATGGCCTCCAGCTACACGCCTCCCCGGTAAGAAAACTGATCATCAATCCATAATAAGATACAACCAAATAAGGCAACAGGGGAGAGCCTATCTGTGATCACTGCCTTGTGCCTCTTTACAGAAGCTTCTGTCGGAAGAGAGGTTTGTATCCATGGAAACAGACTCTGATGAGAAGCAGCTGCTCAATCAGATCCTGAATGCCGTGAAAGTGACGCCTTCGCTCAACGAGGACCTGCAGGTGGAAGTGATGAAGGTTGGTTTGACGTGGCCACCAGTGTGCGTCATTGGGACAGGAACACATTCGGATCCCCTGCACTTGTTATCTGAAAATGCGTCTGCGTTGCGGTCATGCTAGCTCGTCTTTCATTCAGAACGGATGCTTGTTATTCTTGCTCATGGACCCCCTAAATTACCCTGATGGTTTAACATCAAAAAGGGACAATTTCAATAAATCCGTGAGATTTTTGGCCTCGTTCTGCATTAAAGGCCATTAGAAAGTATATTTGTAACCTTTTAAGAGAATGTATGTGAGTAGTTCCAGCATGGGGTAGATCTGATTATTCCGGGTAGTCTGCCTGCTTTCATATGTTAAAACAAAGCAATAATAATAATAATAATAATGTTTTGATATATACTGAGATTTCAGAATGGTCAATTTAGGGGGAGAAAGACCACAGTTGGGAGGCATATCAGAATCACATCTTTTTTTTTTTTCTCCTTCAAGTTACATGAAACTTACCTCCCTCATTCCAATTACCACCTTCCTTTTAGGAATAGCATCTCTCCCTCCTGCTTTCCCTTTGTTTTAAGAATCACCATGATTGGGGGTCCCTTATGCTGAACAGAGTGTGTCATATTCTCTGAGTGAATGGTGAGTTGGGCAGAAAGGATAGAAACTCTGCCCCATAACAGCACTTTGGTCATGGTAACACAGCAGGAACCAACAAGAAAGCTTTCAATAATGCATTCCGTCCTTTTCCTCTCTCGAGGAGCATATGTTGAGGAATATTCAGGAATAGTTGGTGTCATCCACTGGTGGATTTCTTCCTGGAAATGCACTGAAGGATTTTTGTCTTGGATTGGAGACTGCACTTCTCCTGGTTTCAGTTTCTCATTCAGAAAAGATTGACTGCAGTCATGACATTCTCTTGATGTCCTGGGCCTCACCCTAACCCTGTTGGTGGGTAGTTCAGGGTGATGATTAAGAGCTCAAACTCTGAAGCCAGCCTGTCTGGGTTTCAACTCTTATTCTTCCACTTCCTAGCAGAATGTCCTTGGACAGATGTCTCAGTCACTCTACCTTGATTTCCTTTTCTGTGAAATGGGGGCAATAGTAGTACCCACCCAATAGGATTGTTTTGAGAATTAAATAAGGTGATATTTATAAAGAACATAGCACAGTATCTGGCACAAAGCAAGTGCTTTAGAAATGTTATGTATCACTACTGGTACCATGGCTGCCTCCTGCTGCTGAATCAGAATCTCAGTGGATGGGACTAGGAATGTGCAGCTTTCACTAGCATCCCAACTGATTCTTAAACACAATGAACATTGATGATGCCTGAGCTAGCTGATCTTTAGGATCTCATTCATCTTTAACTCTCTTTGATTCTGGAATGTACAGTTTTGTCTTATCCTTTAAGTTTGGCAGCCGTGCATTCTTAGGAACCACAGAGTGACCCCTTCCAGCTTTGTTTTACTTCTCCACTACCTCTGGGCCACTCTTGAAACAGAGGCAAAGCCAACTGCCATGCTAACCGCTTTTGTAACTTCGAAGTGCAACCTGTGAATCTTTTTTCTGCTATTAGGTCTCCAAATACTGGAGAGTCAGCTTTGGTGTCATACTAAGATATGCAAGTCAGATTACATATTATTCTGGAAATTCTCCCAGGAATAGTTTTTTTGTGGAATACAGAAACTTGTGTTAAAAATTAAAATGAGGAAGTACCCATTCTTCTAGGAGCTATGCACAAGCAGAATGTTTAATGCATATTATGTCAACAGTAGCACCTGTTTTGAAAACTTGTACTTGCTTTCTGATTCCATCCAGCCCAGCAATGCCTTCTGCTAGCCTTGCTGAAGATAGGAGTTGACACAGGTTAACTCTACCAGAAATCATGGAAAGCCTCTCTTAATGAACTCTCCAATGACACCATTATAAACCTTAATACTTTTAGTTAATGTCTGGGAGGAAAGTCAGACACTGTCAGAAAAACAATAAATCTGTCAGTCTTTACAATGAGATTTCCAAAATGCTTAAACAGATAAGGACCTTTGTTACATGCTATTTTTTTAGTTGACAGATAACATAGTATGCTTTATCATGTACAACATGATTTTGAAGTCTATATACATTGTGGAATGCTTAAATCTAGCTAATTAACAATTGCATTACCTCACATAGTTATCACTTTTGTGGTGACAGCACATAACAGCCACTGTTTACATTTTTCAAGAATATATTGTCAGCTGGGCATTTGACTCATGCCTATAATCCCGGCACTTTGGGAGGCCAAGTCAGGGGGATGGCTTGAGCCCAGATTTGAGACCAGCCTGGGCAACATGGCGAAACCACATCTCTACAAAAAAATACAAAAATTAATGTAGAGAAATAGGAACACTTCTACACTGTTGGTAGGAGTGTAAATTAGTTCAACCATTGTGGAAGACAGGGTGGCAATTCCTCAAGCACCTAGAACTAGAAATACCATTTGACCCAGCTATCCCATTATCCCATTACTGGGTATATACCCAAAGGATTATAAATCATGGTACTATAAGGACACATGCACACGTATGTTTATTGTGGCACTATTCACAAGAGCAAAGACTTGGAACCAACCCAAATGCCCATCAATGATAGACTGGATTAGGAAAATGTGGCACATATACACCATGGAATACTATGCAGCCATAAAAAAGGATGAGTTCATGTCCTTTCCAAGGACATGGATAAAGCTGAAAACCATCATTCTCAGCAAACTATCACAAGGACAGAAAACCAAATACGGCATGTTCTCACTCATAGGTGGGAATTGAACAATGAGAACACTTGGACACAGGGCAGGGAACATCACACATCAGGGCCTGTTGTGGGGAGGGATAGCATGAGGAGAAATACCTAATGTAAATGACGAGTTGATGGGTGCAGCAAACCAACATGGCACATGTATACCAATGTAAGAAACCTTCACGTTGTGCACATGTACCCTAGAACTTAAAGTATAATTTTAAAAAAATACAAAAATTAGCAGGGCATGGTGGTGTGTGCCTATAATGCCAGCTGCTTGGGTTGCTGAGGCTGGAGAATTGCTTGAGCCTAGGAGGTAAATGTTGCAGTGAGCCGAGATCGTACCACTGCTCTGTAGCCGGCAGAGTAAGACCCTGTCTAAAAATAAAAAAAAAAAATATTGTCACTAAATATAATCATCTTGCTATACAATAGAGCTCCTGAAATTTACTCCTCCAACTTAACTATAATTGTGGATGAACCCACAAGATATTATGTTAAATAAACCAGGGACAGAAAGACAAATACCATGATTACACTCACATGTGGAATCGAAAAAAGTTGATCTCACAGAAGTAGAGAGTAAGATGATGATTGCTGGAGACTGGGGTGCTTAGAAAGGAGGGGTGATGGGGAGATGATAGGAAACGTACCATTATTTTTAACTATTTAAATATTAGGATTGGGGAAAAATATTTCAGTTCACAACAAACCTAGCCTGAAGTTAATTTTTTGTAGTATACTTTTTGATAAACAGTTTGGTCAAGCTGCTAGAAAATTAATGACAAGATAACTATACTTTGCATAATGTTATTATTAACATCAAATAAAACTTGATGGTAACCTGACTTTGATAGGTCACAAGTGAGGGCTCTATGATCATTTCCCATTTCTGAGATTTAAAATACTTATTTCGATATAGAGATTGGTTCACAGTGTAGACTTTCTGGCTTAGAATAATAAGTTTTATCCCCCTTCTCTCTGAATGAGGAATTTCTATATCAACTTTTTAGTAATCTCCAGAAGCCCACACTCTTTTTCTTGTAATTCTATAATACTTGTAATGACCCAAGTAAAGCCTCTTAAATAAGTCCTTGTTTTGCTAATACCATTACTGTATTAAATGCTTTTACTGTATTCTCCCAAAAATTATAGAAGAGAGAATTAGATGAGTCCCCAGAGAAAAGATGGGATTTCCATTACATCTGAAGGGGATGTTAATTTAGTCTTGGCGCTTCTACATGACTCATTCTGATGATAAATTATTTAAAATTTCCTATAAAAATCTTCCAGTCATTTTATGTAAGTATTTTGTAGGCACAGAAAACATTTTAAAACAAGATATAGTGGACATCTTCAAATGTTGGTCTGGATATACCATTCAGGAGGGATAAAGCCACACCATGCAGTGTTGGACAAATAAAAATTTGTCTGTCCAGCCACAGCATAGCACATTGTTATAACATATCCTGGGTGTTATTTTTTGGAAGTTAGATCATGCATTTTATTCACATATTAGTATCTGTTAGTGCTTATAAACATGAGAAATTGAACCATGTCACACTCTTAAGAGTATGGAACAATTGTATTAAATTCCTGGAAAGAAAATAATATAGTTTCCTTTTGTAGAGATTTCTCCAAGATTAAACAGAAACTAGCCAATAATGAAATCCAACATTCCAAGGGTAGTATTCTCATTTAGAAAGAAGACTTTCAATCAGAGCGTTAAAAAAAAAAAAATCAGTGCAGCCTGCTTCTGACAAATAGGAATGAGGTTAAACCACTTAGTCTAGGAAGTATTCTACATGGTTTTACTATTTAACAGGAAGGGGAGAAAAGGCAAGTTTGATTTATTGAAATGGTTATGGACCCCAAAGAAAAATTTTACAGCTTGAGCAAATAAATGGTTAGAACTGTAGAGAATCAGAAAGATTCTCTGAAGATAGATTACCTTTGAAATTGATTGGTAGGCTATTTAATATTTAGATTAAATACTTGTCTGCTTTGGTAACATTTTCCTATGGTGTGTGCTATTTCCATGAATGCCAGGCAGACTGTATAGCAGCCATGTATGGATTTAATGACTTCTCTCACTAGAGTAGTTAGGACTTGTTTCCCTTCTTTCTGATGGATAACCTTTAGTGAGGTTATTAACTGATACAGCTGGCTGAGTCTTCAAAGGCTGCTGAGTGGAGGAATTATGGCTAGCCGTCTGCCTCTGTAAGCATGTGGGAGATGTGAGT